CTTGCTTTATACTTTAAGAGAAAATATAAATTTGGAAATGGTTTCATTAAATTCAGTTAATTTTAATTATTCACTCTAACTGTTAAAAGTGACTTGATCAATGAAAACGATTAAGATAATCGTGTAGTACCTACATAATACACATTAAATGTGTAAATAATTACATTAAATAAAATAGGTCTGTCCGATTTTTATCTGAAATATTAATTTTTTCTGCAGAAAGTTACGAGGTATTTAAAGATTCCAAGCTGGTGATAAATTAACGAATTTCCAGCTAGTCATAAACTACAGCAAAATGGAATCTGTCAGCTGATAAATTTACACGGTATTTTTTAGTTATCGATGCAATTCTCTGCAGATGCAACGTGGAAGAATATAAATTTTGTATAATAAATAACTTTCTGCAGTGACCGAAGTTTACATATTTGATATCGTCGATTTAGTTGAATCATGTAAAAATATGTCCTGAAACATACAGAAAAGCAAATAGTAACGGTGATTTATCATGGTTTTTGTTGGACTTGTGATTTAGTCGAAGTTTCAAAAAAGGCACTAATTAAAAAATTCCACTGAAGAATTGGAGAGCAACGGATACTCTACGAAATTGAATCGCCAAAAGATTTTCGCTTACTCTCTCTCCTTCCTTGCGACCACTTGCTCCTCTCTTTGGCCTCGTACCTTCACCCCAATTTCTCTTACATCAACGGCCACTTCATACTACGTGCTCGTATAGCCGCGTAAAAGTGAAACAGATCGAGTTTACGTTGACTTAAATCGCTTACGGGCCACGCAAAATAAAACAACTGATTCAGTTTCATGTTTGTGTACGCGTTTACAGAAAATTCTTCCTCGCCTGAAATTCTCAGCCTTCCTAATCCAACCCAGAGCTGTTCTCCCTTCGACGTTGGCTATATTTAGTAATAAGTTTTCCGATCGAAATCTATATATTTCAAGAAGGTGGATGGACGAATAAGGGAAGCGAGAGCACAGAAAGCGTGAAGAAGAGGATAGCGCGGAGCGGCGGTCTGAAAAAAGGTGGCAGAGAAAGTCTGTGTGTGTGTGTATATATGTGAAGGAGCGAGAGAGAGAATAAGAAAGAGGAAAGAAGAGAGGGAGACAGAGAGAGAGAGAGAGTTGGAACTAGGTAGGATTGAGGAGTAAGTAGAGACGGAGGAGACACATTTTCTCCGGCGACAGATTCCACCCGTAAAGTATCCGCCTAGATGAAATATTCGGTCTATAGAAAGCCACTCAAGGCAGCTTGGCAGGCAGGAATGGATTAAGATTAGCTCAGCCCCTAGTCCGATCCAAATAGTTTCCGGAGATCTTTTCTAAGATACCTTTTTAAAATGCTGACCAAACTAAAACGTTGTTTTATTTTCATATTATTATTAAATTCGAAACAATAAAAATGGCTGGATTATAGTTTAACTAAAATCAAAAAAGAAATAAATTTCATTCTCGTACTTGATATTTCTCTCGTTCTTTTTACGGTCAATATAATTATCTAACTAATCAGAAAAGAACGAACGATTGAGTTTTACGTCAGATATATTTATATAATCCTCAAGAATTGCAAATATTGAAGTTCTTCGTCGTGTTGTACTAATCGACTTCGTTTGAAAAACAAATTCTAAACAATTAACTTCTTCACTCGTTACTTTTTGCCAATTACTCGTAAAACGAACAGAAAGAACACAGAGATCTACAGAGTCGCGAAAATAATAGAGAAAGAATAACGATTATATTCTGCAAAAAGAAGAGAGTTTTTAGAGTACCTATGGAATCGCGTAAGTTTTTCGTTTCATATAGTAACATACTATCGTATTAAAGTAACACGGTTATCCCGGGAACTACGTGCATGGAAATGTCTATCGCGGCAACAGTTTGATCGTTGACATTGCAAGGGGTTAGGGAAATGACAATGGATTTTCCAGGTTGGCTGGTTACGTGCTTCGGACCAAACGATTCTCTCGGTTCTCACGAGAACGGTAACGCACAATGCACGTATCGCGGTTTCGTACGAGACCGGTGGCAGTTCCGGATCCAGCGCACTATCCGGCAACGCCTTCGGGGTGACAGGAAGTAGCCAAGCCACGGAGGAAGTCGTTAACGGCACATGGCGGCTCCACATTCGTCAGTTAAAGGAGACGGATAGAGGTTGTTACATGTGTCAAATTAACACCAGCCCGATGATATCTAAATTGGGATGTTTGGACATTCTTGGTAAGGATACTTCTACACAGTATGCTTCTTTTACTTTTTTTTACTATTAGTATCGAAAAGATATATTTTATTTACAATTCAGAACTACTCTTCATTACGTCTGCAGAATGCTGTAATATGATTTGTAGACAAAGGAAATTGAAGATACTTTTTACTCCTGACTGATCTTTGCTTTTTTTTCCAAATTAAAATGGAAATTCGAAAAGTTTCCAGAAACACGAAACTGATGATATAATACGTGAAAATTCTGTTAATTCTTCACATTATGTAATACACAGAATACGACTAGACCGGGGTTTAAATCGTAGAAATCATAAAGGGTATCACACCAACTCCGTCCACCACGAACATCTCCATTATTTCAAATAATAAGTGAAAACATTACTTACAAAATTTGTATGGTTGCAAGAAAGATGTATCACGGTGATAAGGCGGATATCGCTGCTTGGTATTGATAGAGACATATCTTAAAAAATGCAAATTTCACAGAAAAAGCAATTTAAAATTTGTATTTGACTAATAGTTGAATATTGATCGTATAATCTGATCTGCTCTCTGGTATGAATCTAATAAAGTTAGAAATTTATAGCTTTAGATGGTAAAAATACTGTATCAATGGAATTTATCTGTGCCAAAAAATCAAAATTGATCATTTCGCATTTAAAAATCAAGAAAATTACCCAGTCATCTAGATACATACATATTCCATATGCGGAGCACCTACCATTATTCGCTGTGCATGGTATAATAATTACTTATGTTTCGTGCGATTCTTTGAAACTTTTCACATAAATAATCATGGACATGCAAGAAACATTGTTTTGTGAAAATATTGTTCAAATTTTTAGTTGTAAGTTTTACCTATAACTGTTATTGTTAGTGCCCGTGGTTGTTACAATGAACTTTCGAGCCTTGTAGTATATTTGCACGATGTTGTGCCGTCTAGATACTGATTCGAAGGACCACCCAATATGATTGGGACTTGTAAATTGATCTGTTTCTATCGCGTGATGTGAACTGGTTGCTCCTTGGTTCTCCTTGTTCGTGGTGGTTGCACGACTACTGGACGACTGACTCTCCGACTGTTTAGTCGTAAAATAGAACAAACCTAAGGGAATCCTGTAGCCGGATTTATGGCTTCAAAAGTGGTTACGTCGCAGGCTAGTATTTTGTTTTCAACGGACAAAGGTGTCCCTTTTCGCGTTGCGTGCGACACTCGGTCACTAGGACTCGAGAGGCCATAAATCCTGGAGTCTCCAAGAGTTCAAGGGACAAGTGGGCCTCGATATTTCGTGGCTGGGGCCACTTCACGCGAGAAAGTCTCGACTTCGCGGAGACTCCACAGGATTCCCAAACATTCCGTCGTTGTGCATCCCTTCCCTAAAATAGCGCGTTTAGGGCGTAACGGGAAGGAGGTGTCAATGCATCGGAGTAAAACTGATTGGTGGAAAATCGTTTTGGAAATCACCAATCAGGGGGATTCGGCGAGGAACGCAGCTTTCGTGGAGACGGACAGTTCAAGATAGAAGGCCACAAGGCACAATTCAACATAGAAGGCCACAAGGCAAAGTTCAAAATAGAAGGCCACAAGGCAAGGTTCAAATTAAAACACAGCTGCAATAGAAGTCTCGCCAAGAAACCAGTATCGAACTCTAATTATTGAAATTAGTATAACCAGTCCTGCGTAACAGTCAATAATAAAACGACCTAACCAAGGTGAATCGACGTGAATTTTGTTTGAAACC